GAGAGAGAGAGAGAGAGAGAGAGAGAGAGAGAGAGAGAGAGAGAGAGAGAGAGAGAGAGACCCCAATGTATGCTCTTGAGGCTGCCGCCCGCCGGTCTGGGCTGAACGGCCATTTCGACGGTTCAGCCCACGGCGCAGGAGGCCAGCATTGAGGCCGACCGGCCGCCGGACGGTACTTAGGCCGGTCCAGCGGCCATTCCTGCAGGTAGGGAGTAGCGGTATCGAGAGCGACCGCGCTGCACTATTCTGGTTCAGCGCAGCGCTGGGACTGCAGTGCTAAGTTTAGCGCACAGCAGTCCGGGAGAGCGAGGAGGAGGGACTTACCTGGACGGCAGCTACGAGCGCCATAGCTCCCCGCGGCTCAGCGGCCTTCTGCAGCAGCTAAGGCGCCACCTTGTCCCATCAGGTAGGGCCTGGCGCTACTCGCCATCTCCATCAATGCTCTGCCATCTCTTCCTCCCCTCTCTTCTTCTTCTTCTTCTTCTTCTTCTTCTTCTTCTTCTTCTTCTTCTTCTATTTCTTCTCCAGGCTCATTCTTCTTCTTCTTCTCATTCAGATTGGAGACTTTGATACGAGTTGGACAGGGATCAGTGTTGGGACTTCGGTGGTAAGAGGCTGTGATACTTACCGGATTCGAGACTTGGAGATAGTTGGGATTGATACTCGGCGGCATCACAGATTGAACACCGGTTATATTAGGACTCTGTACCTCCGACATTGGTGACTTATTGGACACGACATTCTGATCATGTTCGGTGACATTTTGGACTACCATATCGGTGACCTACCGGATTCTATCTCGGTGACATCTGGCGCTGCCTACACCTCCCACCTCCATCATCTCTCCTCCCACCTTTCGTCTGTGTATGGTTGTACGGGGCCTGATCATCATCTATGATTGGCTCAGACCCCACCATCTGACGATTGTTTGTGTGTTGAGTGAGATCTGTATGAGTTCAGTCTATGTGAGTCAGTCCATTCTCAGACTTCCGCTGCATACATGTTCATCCTATATTGGTTGATCTTTGGTTCTGCCCATACTTGTTGAAGTTCTCACGAGTATGCAACGGTTTTGGTATCGGAGCAGACCAATTAATGGATCTGCTCACAAGGTAATTCTGATTAGGGAATAGATTGCTTATCCAATTTTCCAAATCAGTTCTGCATTACTATCGAGATTCAAAGTTGCATTTTTTTTTTTCTTTCGGTATTCTGTTTTAATTCGGTATTCCGTTTTAATTCGGTATTCCGATTTCAATTCGGGATTCTCTTTGAATTCGGTATTCTGTTTATTTCGGTATTCTGTTTTAATTCGGCATTCCGTTTTAATTCGGTATTCCGATTTCAATTCCGGATTCTGTTTTAATTCGGTATTCTACTATTCTGTTTAATTCGGTATTCTGTTTAATTCGGTATTCTGTTTAATTCGGTATTCTGTTTAATTCGGTATTCTGTTTTAATTCGGTATCCTGATTTTAATTCGGTATTCTGTTTAATTCGGTATTCTGTTTTAATTCGGTATTCTGATTTCAATGTGGTATTCTTTTTTAATTCGGCATGCTGTTTTAATTCGGTATTCTGTTTTAAATCGGTATTCTGTTTTATTCGGTATTTGAATTAGGGTTGCGATAAAATTTCGGTTTTTCGATCACATTTGGGGCATGTTTTTGGAACCGTAAAACCAGAAATTCCGCGAAATCGCGAAAAATTAGGGTTGGAATCCGAAATTTTCGCGATTTTTTTTTTTTTTCCCCTAATTGAGAATTTCCGAATACGGACTCCGGCCTTTTGAAATCGGACTTGGTTAGGTTGAAATTCTCGACATTTCACGCTTTTTGAAAATTCGAGCGTTTTTCTTTTCCTGACTATCCGAATTTTTTTTTTCATTCGGCAAACTGTTCGGCATCGTTACCTCAGAACTGCAACTTCCGGGTAGTTCACTAACAACGGTGAACTCCCGGACCATAGGTGATCTCAACGGACACCT